GATTTTTAAAATATTGTTGTTTGGCTTTGCGTAATTCAGCAACACATTTATTTCGGTAACTGTTTAAACGAGACCGATTTTCAGAAGTTTTTGATATTCTGTAAGTTTTCATTGAAAAAAAGCTTTCAACTTTAGGAGATGTATTATAGAGGCATTCAACCAAGGAATTTTATTTTTCCGGACTGGAACTTTACAAGTTGAAATATACAGTATTTTTCCTGTATTGTCTCCAACTTATCATAAAAATTTGACAAAATGTGATTTGTATTTGACAGAGAAATACCCTCATTCCAGTTAGTATTCTCAATCTCAGCATGAAACATGGGTAACTTTGATTTTGGAATCCTTTTAATGAAATTATGCACATGACCTGTATGTAGGTTTCTTAAGGTTTTTTCTAATGACATAAATAAGTGAATGATCCGAGATTGAAGTATTTATAACTCCAGATATGCCATGTATTCATTTTTATTTATTTATTAACTTATTTAATCGGGCACATGATCACAAATCTCTTTTGCAAGGGAGGTCTGGCCCTGAAAGCAGCCTATTGTACATGTTTTTGGTTAATATGTTAACACTACTAACAAACGACGGCCGCTTGTGCGTTGTTGTCAGAACTAAAAATCCAGATGTGGAAAGTGTTCTTTTAAAAAACAAACAAAGTTGCATTGGCTAAATTGAACAAAGATATTCTACATGTGAGGAAGGCAGGTGGAAAAATCTAGGGTGCAGGCAAAAATTCAGAATGTAACAAAAAGTTTATTTAAGGAACAAAAAGAGGGCTGTCATGGCAGCAAAACTTACAACAAACTCAGGAGAAAATGAGGACAACCACACAGGCTTAGGGGATGCAGCACAATAAACAGACGAAACACTGATGACAAGACTCAGAATATAAAGCAAACAAATTAGGAGACAATGGGAAACACCTGGGGAGACACAAGAGGAAACAGGTGAGCATGGGCGGGGCTAGAGGCAAGACAGCAGGGAAGAGATACACAGGGGAACAGAGAAACCCTAGAAAATTAAAGCAAAAAAAAAAACACAGACCATGACACCACACTGACATACATTTTTTTAAAGTTATACCTACTATTTTAGCTCAGCTACTGTTCTGCCCTGAGCTTCAGTGTTTACTGGCAACCCAGCAGCAGGTTAGGATAGGAGAGGAAACAGTACAAGTGATCAAGTTGTGTTTGACTGATTTTTGTTAATATCTAGCCTGATTATTAAAGGAGACATGTCATGCTTTTAAATCCTTCTTTCTCCCATTTAAATCATTCAGTTGAACTCTGTATAAAGAGATACTGCAATGCTATGATCTGAATTACTCCTTATTTTAACTTTACCAGCCCCTACTTCACTCTTTTTCTGAGGTGTGTCGCAGATCCACTCGTTTTGTTGCTGTCTCTTTAAATAGTAATGGAGCAGAAACTTTTTAAAGCAAATGTGGTTTCCGTGTAGAATATTTGAAACCAGCCATGAGGTCTGTCAGCAAATCTTTCAGAGAAAACTTCAAATGGCAAATGAATTGAAGTTTTTGTTTTTTTTTTCTTTTTTTTTCTTTTCCTAATTATTATTGCTTTAAATTAATTATAGAAAAAAGGGGCATATATTATAAGATTTTGTTCTTCTTTCTGCCTCCTTTCATTTCAGTTTGATTTGTATCTTTTTGTTGTGTATATATGTTGTGTATATCTTTTGTTTTTAATGTGTATAATTTTTTTGGTTTCAAATGAAATGAATAAACAATTTTAAAAAATGGTGCTCAGGGGCCTGTCATTTTTAAACCTATACATGCCGAATGTTTTATTATTCCTGCTGTCGGGTTTTGCAGCGCAGCTGACTCAACTTATACCATAAACTGCATCTAACTGGGAGCTGAGAATACGTGCGATTTTGATATCAATCAATGAAAAAAGAAGCTTTGATTGGCTCTCTGAAACAATGTGATTGGCTTAGGAGAAATCTCAATTTTTCTAATATTTTAATCAACATTTAGGCTTTTGAAATTACATAATAGTCAATATTTTGCTTTGCCATATAGTACTGCATCAAATCATGTTGTTAAAAAAAGTCAAGGCGCAAATCATTTTAGGGCTTTTTGATGTTCACTGTATCAGATGTGTGCCAGTGTGTTGAATCATCACAGTGCATCATGCTGACCACAGACCAGAGACACAACTCTGTTTCCTACTAAGAACTACAGCCGTGACATCATTCTTCTGTTCAGAATTTTTAACCAGCAAAATGTAAAATGTGCATCAGTTGGTTCAAGTTCAAGTCATTCCTTCCTTTGTTTGCCTCCATGAACATTCTCCCAAACTCAGCCACACACACACGTCCACACACACAACTATACACGTATGCGAAATATACACTCTTCCACTGGACTTTTTACAGTTCATAAACCACATTGAATGAAATTTGTACAGAATGTTGATGACAAAATGAAGATAAAGACCCACAAGAAGCACACCAGTGTACAGCATGAGCGTTGGCATCTATGTGGGAACCCTGTTTGCCCGTTAACGAGGTCTAAGGGGAAAGTGACAGAATGTGTATGTGTGTCGTATGTTTGTTGTATAGATTTCTTGCCACTAGAGAGGTCCAGGGGAGTGATAAATTGAGCTGACAAACACCGCAGAAGGCTCTGTCCCAGCTGTCCAGTCCTGTCGTTTCTTTCACCCTTCCTCATGCTGCCAACTCTAAGGCTCCTTGTTCGATTGTGTGTGTTTGCAACAACACGCTCGCCTCCTGTCTGAGATCCAGAGGAGTCCGAACTGGGCTGCACAGAAAGCACACAAACCCTGCAGACACGGAGCACTGAAAATGGAGTCACTGTGATCCACAGTCCCGAGAGTCTCTGTGTTTGTCTTTTATATTTTGCCCCTCAGTCACACACAGCACGGCACAGTCCAACTCCTTCCAACCTCCCCTTCATGGCTTGTGTGTGTGTGTGTGTGCGTGTTTGTGTGATGCAGAGATGACTAATCTGAGCGGCCTCCAGAATCCTTCCTCAAAAAGACCATCATCGATGCTTAGATGTCTGTTGGTTGACATTTATGAGTGTGTGTATGAGTGTCTGTGTAATGTATGCAGATTATGCGAGAGTGTGAGTTCACATTTATGAGATGTAGTGTAGAAGTGCTGGCAAAACGAACACACACACAGTCACGTAGATGTGGCGGAGGAATGGAGCTGATTGTCGGCTGCCGCTTTTGGGTCCTGCAGAGTCCTGAGAGTCTATTGAACCCTGGGCCAACAAAGTCTGAGCAGAAACAGAAAGGAAGAAGCACAAATGTTAGCCAGGAAAAAAAAAATCACTGTGCAGGTTGGCTACTTCCAAGTCATTTGAGCAACTAATCCGTCGCTGCACTGATGCATCATAAACGGTTTAGGTGAGGCGTTTCAGTTATTGCTTGATTTATTTGCTTGGTTTGGATGTTGCAGAGCCAAAGAAGCATGCAACACAGCTTTATGGGGCTGCTGACAGATCTGCCAGATTAAAAAAATATATAGGGGCAGAAAAACAAAAGTTATTCAGATTTCTTTTCCTTTTTTTTCAAAACACTTTCACAAAAAGAGAAATAATTTGTAATTTTTATATTTGGGAGGTCTTTTTATTGATTTTTGATGCTGACATTTTAGTCTAGTCTACAATAAAGTAAACCATTCAGACCAAAAACATTGTCACGACCTTTATACTGTGCTCCAGTAAAATCTCTTAAGACATCAGTAAGAAATAAATGGAAGCTATAGTAATTGGGAACATTTTTTTTGTATTAATTGACAGTATTGTGGACCTTGTATGTACATGAACATGGCTGATGTAGGACAGAGTGATTCTCATGTCACCATAGTGTAACGGTACACAGCACACTATGCAGCCTTTTTCCAGTCATGTCTCCTTAAGCTTTTACAATCAATTTATTGTTTGTACGTAACAGCCTCAAAATGTCACTGAGCTCAGTATAGGCTATGGTCAGTTCTCTCGATACCCGTAGTTATTTTTTAAGCCAAAGCATGACCGTATGTTTGGTGTTCCATCAGCCAAAACGTGTGGAAAGTTCTTGGTCTTCTTGCTGTCCCTTGCTTGGCAGCCTTTAGTACTTAGAATTGTTGCACAGGGAGTTATCAGGTGTATAAACAACGAGGTCACCTGACACTTAGATATATTATTATTATTTTAGACAATTCTTTAATTGTTATTTTACGTAGATTATTTAACTAATAATTTCGTTTCTGGAGGTAATGATCTGGGCTTCAAAGGAAATGGGTGTGAATGCCTTTGCATGCATCGCATTTTGCAACCCATTGCATCTAATGTCATCACAAACACCAGATTTTGACTGTTATAGTGAGAAACAGATGCAGTTTCATCAGTTTAGTTTTACTAACCTAAGTTTTGTTGAAATATCTAAAAATGTTGGATGCAAAATATTGTCCATGCAATAAGTCCTTTTGTTTGTTGAGTTGAAAAGAAACAACAGCTTTACACATAAAGATATGTTTTATGTATGTCCACATGCACAAACTGTAGGCTACATTATTATAATGAGACAGACAAGTCGTGCATTATAAATCTGTGTCTGCATTGAGGGCTAGATTTCACTGATGTCACTGTCCATATGTAGTGGAGAACAACTTTTCCAGAGCAGCAGCTTGAAAACTCACAAAAGATCCATTTAAAAACTTTTGATTTTGTAGCACTATAGGAAACAGTGAAAATTTTTAAATTCCAAGTTTCAAATCTTTTGACGTACTTTGAATTGAACCAAACTGCACGATAAAGATCTTTTACAGAAAAAAGGGCATGATGACAGTTGTTCTTAGATAAATGTTTTATGTTCCTCAAAGTGCATTCTCTTGTGTTGTTTGAGTTGACAGTGTACCTGAACCTGGCCACCAGAGAGTCTGTGTGTGAACGACAGATTCATAAATATGCATAATATATGAAGCTTGTTGGATCCACCAATGAATTCTAAAGCATTAAGATGCTCATAATTAGAGATACTCACCTCCTCGCACTCAAAGTCTTCAGAGGGGATGCACTTCTGACCGCCGTCCTGAAAAACACCAACTCATTGTGAGACACACAACTCATTATTCTATTGTAATGAGTACCAGATAACAGCTATTCCCATCTGAGCTACTAGCTCAAAAGAAAAGTACTCTTTGCACATGTAAACAAGAACTGATAAAATAATCAGAGGGAATATTTCCAAAGAGTTGTCTACCAAAGATAAGAAGTAACATTCAAAAGAAAAAAATAACAACTTAAAGTGACTGTTTAAGTCTTTTGTGTTTGTTTCTTGTTCTATATTGAACTGTGATTCCATCATTTTAAACTCGCATGATACACATTACAGAACACCATTATGTTACTACGCTTGTTATTCAGCATCTTAATTAGGCCTCTTTCTGAAACACACTATTAAATCTCCTGGTCCTTTACCATTTTCTTTCCTTAATGCCAGCTGCATTCTAATTGGCCAGGCTTCAGGAGGCTTACTGAGAGATGGTGATTGTGAACACTACCTCATCTGAAGGCCTGTTTCAAAGTTTCTAAGTTAAATGTAAACCTACTTCGTAGCAATTTCTACATCTTGTTTATAGATAGAACATTTTTCAGGTTCTTCTAATAACATTTTATACAAAAAAAAAAAAACAGCTGGAAAATGAGACTGGACCACACAAACACATACAGAAATAAATATGTAATAAGTATAAAAAGTAACTTTTGTTTTTTTTTATGTTATTAATTTACCTGATAGCTAGAAATGTGGATTTCATTGTGAACATTCAAATTTGCATTGTTAAATGACAGGAAACTGTTAAAAAATAAGTCTTTTCTATCACTGTAATGCAGCAGTAATGATGAAAAAGATGCATGCTTATGACTTCACACACACACACGCACACCCTCTTGTAAATTGCAGC